GCAGGCAAGATCGGACAGTTCGTATTTTCCTAGTAGGGCCGCAGTTCCACAAGGCGACGTCATCAGCATAGGAGAACATTGGACTGGGTAGCGCTGGCCAGAAGGATTGACACCTGGCAGGCGTGCCAAGACGATGTTGAATAAAAAGAGCTCAGTACAGAACCCTGTGGAACCCTGTCGATACGATTGCGCAGACCGGAGCGCGTGCCTGACTTTCACGGGAAATCGGCCCGACAGAAAGCCCTGCACAAAGCACAGCATGCGGCAGTGCACGCCTAGGGCTGATAGTGCCTGCATGACTGCCGGGTTAGGCAGGTGATCAAAGGCATTCTGCACGTCTAGGGTGAAACAAGTTTCCAAGGTAGCGACACCTTTCTCATTCTTCGTTGCCTATGCTGCTGGAGCGCCCCCTAGAAGGTTCAAGACTTTCGTCAAAAAGCGAATGTTCGTGTTGAGTTGCTACGGTGAATAGACGTATATAAAAAGATGGAACGAAATGAGTCGTTGAAACGGTTACCTTAAAGAACGTAAACGGTACTACACAAGAGCAAGTGGGATGTGCGTACTGAACTGCCAACGTTGTGAAATTTTATATTTTACGCCACTAGGCATGGCGTCTCGCATCGTACATCGTCAAGGTATAACTAGTCCACTTCTCCGAATTGTTGTTTGTGCTGTTATACAGTGAACGCGCTCTTGCTGGATCCTGTCAGTGACCACAGGGCCTGACGTGTAAAGCGATTACTTCCAAACAGCCACGGCCAGACTGGTACGAACGCTTGACCAAAAGCACTTCGATGACGTTTTTGTTGAATGTGCCCATTTGGACAATCGTGATGTAAGGTGATTCTGGTGTGTGCTCGGAACTCCTGAAAGTATGAGTTATTCTGGTGAGGTGTCCTGAAGCAGCGCATTTCGTTTTTTTTATGCCACGTTCTGGTCAACTGGTCAAGCGTGACTTATTTCTGAAGGTGCGTTGATTACACCCTCCAGCTGCTCTGTATACGTGCATACACAGAAGTATTTGTAAAAACTGAGATGCACTAGACGCAGATTAGACGCACTCGTGGCGTTTCAATAAAAAACGACAATTAAACTAGCTGCGCAGATCCGCGTAGACATACGTCGACGGAGTTGCACGATAGCATTCGCGTGAAAAGTTTCATAGCTACACTTCACGGTGCGCTTCATCAAGAATTGTACGAGGTAAGTTGAGGAGAGCGAAACTGTTTTCTGTTATTTTATGGCAACGCAACCTTGGTGAAAAACGCGGATATTGCATTCAACGAGCACCGCGAAACAATCTTGACTTGGCACTCACTTAAACGATCCTCCTCTTCAGTTTATGTCCCAGCTACGATTTCGTCTTCGGTCATGGCGAGAATCCGACTGGAGCCATATGCGCATGCGCACTTGTTTTGAACCTTTTGCTTAATGATAAATAACACCACCAGACATTTGCAAGAAATGCACAAATTACAGACGCGGATGGCTGAGAGAAGAAGGGGTAAACAGAGAGTGAGGAGAACGGCTCGAGAACAATGATTAACGCTATCTTGGAAACTTGTTTCATCTAGGGACCTTAGGCTCCAAAACGTCAGTAAGGAAGTATTGTTAGGCATTTCGGAAGGCGTAATTGTCTCCCACGCCCTAGAATGCGAGCCGTATCTACGCTGGTTGAGCGTAGAGGCGGCCATGTTGCCTCGAAACGCCGGTCCCAGCGTAGCGGCGTCTCCAACGTAATCGGGTGACAATCGGCCGTAAAGTTCCTGAAAATCGGCCCACCTGAATTATGCTAGTATCCGCGTGTTTCCAGTGAGTTGCCGTAGCGAATGATGCTTGTGTCACGGGGTACAGTGAAGTTGCCCGTGGTTCCAGCCGAAAATAGTGGAGCCGAAGCGCAGCACGGCCTACACCATCGCACGCTGGCAGTCCCCCCCCCCCCCCCCCCCGCTCTGAACAATGAAGCCTATGGAATATTCTTCACATGGTTCCCATCAACTTCTTTGCAAAACTATGCATGTTCAAGGCACACTTCCTAATGATATCAGGGACGGTAACGTTGTGAGACGACAATATGATTATGAGAGACGCCGAAGTGGAGGGCTCTGGAAACTTTGACCACCTGGAGTTCCTAAACATGCACCGAGGTAATTGGGCCTCAAACATCTTCGCCTACTTATGAAAAGATTACATTCCTGAAGGGAACTATGAGGAGATGCGAACCGGAGCGTTGCTTCTCACGGGTTGCGTCACGGGTTCAACCGCGCTAGCACGGAAGCAAAACAGTAGTTTGGGCTAGTTGGTTGTGGTCATTATGAAAGATAGAAGGGGGAGCAGTACGTAACATCGACTGGAGCATAGAAAAACAACACAAGCGCACACTCGCAACCGAAAATTTATTGAAGGTGCAAACACATATATGGCTTACAAAAATTGTCACGTGTTGCAAATTCTCTCGCCTAAAAAAGTATAAAATGAACGCTATTCCGCAAAAATTCCAAAAAATATCATCAAGGCGCATGTGCCCAAACAGAAAAGACAAGAAAAAATATACACAAGCGGCTGAATTAACCAAAAATTTAGTGCAGTTTTACCATATAAGTGTTCTTTCTCTGAAATGGCAATGAAGGGGTGGCTAACACTTGTTTCGCCGCACTTCCTAATGTGGAATGATTCGATTAGTTTGCGGGTGGTTTTATCGCTATGCTTTATTAGGACAGTAGCATCCACAAAAAAGTGTCGAATTTTCTATAAACATAGCGATAAAACCACCCGCAATTGATGGATTCATTCCGCAATAATTAAAACTTCGCAGTGTAAGCGTTAACTAAAAGCGAACTGCGGGTGTGCGCCCAATCGGAGTCTTCTGTCTCTGACGGCTCATTAGCAGCGATTGCCATGTTCCAGTAGTAATCATCGTTCTATCACTACGTGCTTTGCGCCTACTCAGGTTTATCTTCAGCGCAATGCCACGATGAGTCCCAACGTCAACGTCGCCGCCAGTGTAAATGTTAAAGCCTGCTGTTTTCTTCACATTGTTATATTTAGCGGGAGATGATGCCATAAATTCGCTTAGGTGCTCGTCGCTCGTTTGTACTGCGTCAGTTGTCTCGGTTGCATAATGCGGCTCGCATGACACTGGCATTCAAGGAACAGGTGCGCCAGGGTATCGGTGCACTGCAAAGCGGGCTATGTACCCATGTTTCGTTGTGTACAGATGGTGAATGAGTGTTCTATGAGTGTATCTGGTGTCTAGAGAAGTCTGAATACATGATTCCTGCTTTATTAGGTTCTGGACATGGTGGAGGGCACACCCGTTGCTCCAGTCGGTAATGTATAGGAGTAGCGACGAATATGTTTTCAGTACATCCTTCGTCTCTTCAGCGCGGGTCGAGTATCCTGTGGGCCGCGAGTTGCCCGGCTGACGTGCTTGCGGTCCCTTCGATTACCAGTAGACTCTCGCAACCTGGCCCTCGTATAACGCATGTGTATAAGATTCGTGGGCTTCGCCACTTCAAGATCACATAAAACGAAATTGGAAGGCATTGGCAGCATGACCGTCAATGCTAGTCGCTAAAAGGGCTTGCAACCGTTCTTATAAAAAATTAACAAACTGAGCAAGTGGCGAATAGTGACTGGCCACTGACAACGTTTGTGTGCTGGTATTTAATATTCCTTCTGCAATACTTTGTCGTCCATTCATGAATATTTTTTGCACTCCATCACACCCTTACACACTTAAGATTACAGGGAAAGCAGCTTTAAAATAAATGCCTAAAATAAGGTGTCACCACCAATTTGAGTCTGCGGGTATTCTTCTGTGACCAATGAGTTATTTAGGCATTCGACATCACCCCACCACACACAAACAAATGACAGCCTTAGCCAAGCATCGATTAGTTCATGCGATTTCTTAGTGTGATTTTTGGAAAATATGCTGCGACTGATCGTCATTGTAGCACGTGGTACGCATCATGTATAAAAATAATGTCCTTTCCACGAAATAAACTGATCGCGAGGCCAGCAGTGTCCTTTCATTCCTTCTGTGCTTGCCTCCGCGCGCTGCTTCATAAGTAAACAAACTATCACCAACTAGCCGAACCATCAAAGTTACTGATCCTCTACAAACATAAAAATATTGTTGCCCAGCAGTGTCTGATGACAAGGCTATACAAATGGGCACATGGATGGACACTAGCTCACTTCGTTCCTGGACTTCACAGCTATAGTTCACTGAACACAACAGTTCACCAATTGTAAATACACAAGCAAAATGTCCGTAAAAACACAGAAGTTGCCACGATGCTGTCACAGCAAATTTAATTATAGGTCACCGGTTATGTGCCGTAATGTAATTGGAAAAGCTATGCTTATAGAAAAAACTGCTGCCAAAATACGAAAACATATCTGGATAAACTACCTGTTTTTAAATTACCTCTCTCTCTCTGTCTCTTTGTTCTTTACCGTGACATAAGTGACATTAGGTCCATGCACAGGAGTTATGTGAAATGCTTGCACAGATTTGTGACGCTGCTTAAAGAATCAAATGACAGTAGCAGGTCACTCGATAAGACGGATGCTTAGGCTTGTGGTGATTTTGAATCAACGTATCTCCAAAGCGCAAGAGAACGAGTGGTTATAGCGTAACTACAAAAGGAAGACACATGGAAAAGAAGTCAATGATTTTTCTTGTGCTTGTGTCTTCCTTCCGTAGTTACGCAGAAACTACCCGTTTTCTTGCGCGGTGCAAATATGTTGACTTAAGGTCACGGGGGTAACAATAAAGACAGCATGACAGCATGCATGATGCCTTGCCTCGTTTCTTCACAGCGTACGTGCAATTTAAAAAAAAGTGAGCAATTCACAAATGCGCGAAAGCTATTGTATTCAGAGCAACCTGATGCTCCCGCGAGCCGACGACATGGTTGACAGCTTACAAAACGTTACTACAGGCAGAGTTTTATTATATATAGACTGAGTAATATGTTGGAAAACACTGCTGTAGCAGAATGATGTCACTTATTGCTTTAAGTTTCGGAGAAAAAAAGGCGTTATTAGATAACTTTTTCGATCTTGAGCCAGATGCCATCCTTAGGCATCGCGAATATGAAAGTGGATTCCAGCTCCAAGTTTTTCTCCTGAAATAATAAACGATGGGCAGATTTAGCAAAGCATTCTCTTGTACGAGTTGGTTCATGACAGTAGGAAAACAAATTAGCACAAAAAAGGACAAGAATGACATATGAGAACACCATGTACTGACACTAAATCACCAATCCTGTGTTGTCGTGTTGTGCTTGCGTGGTTTTGAAAAGCGAAAACTTGATGATGAAACTACGTCGTTGAAGGCGGGTGCAGATAGGAAGGACGCCCAACATTTATTTGAGTTTAATAAGCATAAAATACTCTCATAAATAGAATTACGCATGTGCAAGAACTAAGAAAAAAAACACGTATGCACCCGATCCAGTGTGCCTCTTGGAAACGTGTGGAGCAAAATAAATATGAAATTATGAAAGAGAATATTCGATTCTAACACATTTTAAGTTGTGAAGTGAAGTAAATATAAATGTAGGCATTGAACATGCCTTGTTTTTCTCGGCGATAGCGTACAATGACTAAAACGGGAAAATCTGTGATCATCTCACGCTGATGTCTTCAGGTGCATTGATGTCATCCGCCTTAAGTGTCTCCGTCTTCAGCCTGCCTCTAACGTTGATAATCTCCTTGGCCCCCGAGAAGAGAGCAGAGGACCCGCACCGGCTTGGCCCTTTGGCGTTACGGTATTTTTCGTCTAAAGTTCGTGTAGATGACTGCCCAAGTTAACTCTGTACCTGAATGCTTTCAAATTATACCTATGGATATTGGGCTTCCACTGCCGAATAAAGAAACAAGGATTCATCAGCAGGCTAGAAGGTTTATGAACACTGTGACAAAACAGTGCTGCGTCCTGCATGCTTGCTGACACTGGGCCGTGTTTTTCGCTGTTCAGTCACAATGTTCAAGTCAGGGCTTTTGTTAGTCCTGCAAAACTGCAGTGCAAAAATAAAGAGCCACAAAAAGAACACACAAATAAAACGATCAATTTCGGAATTGGAAATGTTTGAGTCTTTGGTAAAGATTAGTTTCTATTTGCAATGTGATGGATAGAAACGTCTTGCCACAAAAGAAATTTTCAACAGTGAAACCGAACAACTGCCAATGCTTTTTTGTTGGGGCTTCGTGCAAACGTGTTTATGCTATTTTAAAGTTCCCCATATAGGTGAATGTAAAGGTGGGTGTGTGGGTAAACATGCTACTGATTTAGAAACACCGCAAGTGCACTATAGAAGACATAAGAGAGCTCTCTTTTGCTGCCTCAAATTAACTTGCGTTGCTAATAATTCTTAAGCGTGATAGACGAAAGGACTGTTTTGGTTATTTACCGCCTCAAGTTAACTTGTGTTGCTAATAATATATATTAGGTGTGGTAGGCAAAATGATTGTTTACTACGGATAGAACCTCCTAAGCTGAAAAGCCACGCTTCTCTATGAGCATACTTGAATTATATTTGATGGAGACGAAAACTAAACTTAGGCTTCTTTGAAATGCCTAAAACATTATTCAGGAAAAAGCGCACAAACCTTAATGTGACGTTCATCCAGAAGAAGCTTGTATTTTGCCAATAATTTCGCCATAGTTAGTTTCATCTCCAGCTGGGCAAATCTCATGCCGACGCAGTTGCGGGGGCCCTGACCGAAAGGCTGGTACACCACGGGATCAACAAGGCCTTTATTTTGTGGGCTGAATCTGCAAGACAAGTTGGAATAAAGAAGTAAGATCATGATGGCTGACGTTGATGATGATTGAAACAGAATCGTCATCAGCCTGATTAGGGCTTCTGCCGAGAAAATAAAACATCGTATATAATTCTGCAACTGAGCCAGCCGTGTGCTACGGCAATATTGCCACCACGAGCTCATTGGCCGACCCAAGGCTCTGCCTCCCCCTCGCACACTTGCCTTCTCGTGGAGCCTTGTCTTCTCTTTGGCTCAACGCAGATCGAGGACCAGGCAACAAATCACAAAAAGAAAAGATGGGAGATCCCACGTACAGTGGGAATCGATGATATGCGAAGCACAAATGAGAAATATTGATATGTCAGCACAACGTTACGAAGTGGAGGTAAATGATGCCATACATGACTTCCGTGTCATGAATAGCATGTTTGGATGTGTCCTTTACCTTCGTCATCTAGTCACGTCACGTAATACCAAATGTAGTCTATGTGGAGCTAGTGAAGCGGCCGCGAGCACGCTATGTGCGTGGTATGCTGTCATGTTCTCACATGCCACGCGTGTCAGTATTATCATGTTTGCACCAGTCATATATTTCGTCATTTATTGCCGTCACGTAACGCCAAATTTGGTATGTGTGAAGCTAGCAAAACGGCCACGAGTGTATCAAAAGGGCACGATGTACTCTAATGTAGCGTTGACGCGCGCGCACGCTGGGCACAGCGACGCTACGTTAGGGAAACGCGAGCACTCTATATTCTGGCGCCAGGTACGACCAGCGTCCGTTGGTGCGGCCGATGGAAACCGGCACGAAATGCGACAGACAGGCTGCTTTTCGTGCCGATGCGTTACCCCGACAACACTGCGTCTCCCGTTTTTTGCGACGGAGGGACGCTGGACGCGCTGAAACGCGCATGCGTCAAAGCAACGCAGCGTGGCGGGCGCCTGCGAGTACATGGCAGGACCGACGCCTGGCATGGCAACGCAGGCGTGCCGGCGCACCACGTCACGTCGAAATGTATTGGCTCCTTGATGGTAGCGTGTAGTCATGTTCTCACATGACACGCATCTCATGATTATCATGTTTGCACCAGTCACATATCTTCATCATCCATTGGCGTCACGTAATACCAAATTTGGCATATGTGAAGCTAGTGAAACGGCCCCGAGTGCATCATGAGTGTGAAATGTAGTCGTGTTGTTGCATGACACGCATGACGTGATTATGATATTTGGATGTGTCATTTACCTATGTCGTCCGTTCGCATCTCGTCATACCAAGTTTGGTACATATGAAGCTAGCAGAACGGCCGCAAGCGCATCATGAGCATAGCATGTAGTCATGTTGTTACATGAAACGCATCTCATGTTTACCCTGTCTACACCAGTATCATACTTTCGTCATCCATTGACGTACCGTAATACAAAATTTGGTAAAAGTGACGCTAGCGGAACGACCTCCAGCGCATCATGAGCGTGGCATGTAGTCATGTTGTTACATGACACGCATGTAATAATTATCATATTTGCACCATTCAAATACCTTCGTCATCCATTCACGTACCGTAATACCAAATTTGGTATATATGACGCTAGCGAAACGGCCATGAGCGCATCATGAGCATGGCATGTAGGCACGTTGTTTCATGACTCGTATGTCTTTATTTTCATGTTAGGGTCAGTCGCTTGCGTTCGCCATGCAATCATGTCTTACCATACCAGTTTTGCAACTTGCCATGTGAACGAAACCATCACAAGAGCTGCAGGACCATGAAATGTAAATCATGACATTCATGACATACATGCCATAATTTTCATGTTGTGACTTGTCAAATACGTTCTTCGTACAGCCATGTTGTGCCATATCAAGTTTGGTATCGATACAATTATCGAAACGGCCACAAGAGCTAAAAGTCGTAGGCGGATAGATAGGTGGATAGATCGATCGATCGATCGATCGATAGATAGGTAGATTGAAACGCTCAAAGTCGCCGTAGTTCGCAAAGAAATGCTTCACATTTAAAACTATGCACGTTAAGAGACAAGGAGAGAGCGAAATAATGAGTCAGTGAAGAACAGTGTGTTAGGAGCAATATATAGAAAACACCTGCAAAAAATAATAACCTTCGAGAAAATAAGTATAAAAGCAATATCCAGTGTTGACAGAACAAGGACGAATCGCTGTGAATAAATATTTGCTTTCTATACCTCCAGAAATGTGGCATTCAGTAAAAATATCTCTTCGGGAATTGGACCTCAGCAACATTGCAGATCTCCACGCTACATGGGAGAGTTAAGTGGGGCAGGGAACAAATGTGTGCTTAAGACAGATTGCTCGAAGGGAAAATAAATGGACATAGGCAGTGCATGTAGCAAGATAACCAGTGGGTGTTAAGAGTAACAGGCAGGAATTACATATTTGTAGACATAATGCATCACTTTCATGCTGAAACAGAAACTGAAACATTCAGAAATAATAGGGCTCCCCATTGTCGCTGCCTGTTTCAATTCATGCATGTTTTAAGTGCGACAGCAGCAGTGTAGTATGTTTATTATTATTCCTTACAGAAAGAAAAAAAATGACGGAAACATAAGAGACAGGGGTACAATGTTCGTGACACGGCTATATTTTGGAATTGGTCATATATGCATTTTGCAGTGGAAAATAAATCTCAGCCTGTAGACAACCAATCAGTACCAAGAGTATATTTTGTACAACTCCATGAATACCCTCGCTGTAGATATAAAAGTAGTATAACATCGCTAAGCGATACATGAAACACGTTGCTGTATCTTTTTACGTTATAAAACTATTCGTGAAAGCATAGGCCGATAATTTGTTCTGCTTTTTTAACTGCATTTATCTGGAGGAGTCGAGATTTAAGTGACCCTGCCTGCTCCATTTACAGAGGTTCTGGCACGCAAAAAAATTGAAATTTTCAGAAAACCTCTCACATTACAATACTTACTGTGACCGTGACTTTAGATGAGCATCTGCTGCAAGAGGCAAAAAATTTCTTAGAAGTCTTCTTGGTGGATAATCATTCATTGAGCGTTCGTGATCAACAGCCATGAGTAGATACTTACAAAATGACGTGTTAAACCGTATACTATGTGTTCAACGTGGACATAAATGTGTTCATGTGAACGATGTATTGCGAAGGGAAGTCCGGCATGGAGCCTTGAATTGCAGATAAATTGTGGCATCGGACATACAATCGAAGTAAGCACTTGAATGGCTACAGATTCTAGCAAACAGACAACCTTTGTAAATTTGACTACGTGTGACACATTGAGCGGCTGGCTTTATGGTAATTTACATGGTAAGAGAAAAGGGAAAAACCTTTCGGGATCGAAGACTTCGGGTTTCTCCCAGAAATTCGGATCATGACTCAGGTGGTGGTTGGGGATAACGATGCTGGTTCCAGCGGGTATTTTCATATCCTTGTGCACGTATTCACGAGCGCATCTTCTCGTCGTGAACCTGCCAAGCACAGAATCAGCGTAAGTAATTCAATCAACGTCACAAAGCGAAAAGTGACAGCAATGGTAGTGGCATCGGTCATGTCATTGCATGGTAGTTCATTGTGACATGAGAACTTGAGAATACATTGTTTGAGTTTTTGACGGTGAGGAAAGTAGCAACGAAACTAGTAAAATTTGAAGTCCAAATTAGGTAAATCTGTGGGCCGCCATGTTGGTCTAACGCTTATGCTGCTTGGCGGCCGACCAGAGAGTTGAGGGTTCCACTCAAGACGTGGCGATGGAATTTTAGATAGACACAAAATGGTAGAGGCAAATTTACTCTGTGGTGCCATGCACGTCAAAAAACATTAGGAGTTCAAAATTTGAAGAGCCCCGTTTTTGCTGAGCCTCAGAATATTATATATAGCTTTTGGCACGCGAAACCTCGGAAATATTTATTACAGTACTATCGTCATGGGAACTACAGTAGGTAGAGTGTGTGAACGTTATGAACAGATCAATTTCGTTGGCTATTCGTAGATTATTGTGTTGTCTTAGCGGACATGTTTCAATTTTACATTTACTCCCTGGTGCCACCACGCATGAAATCTCGTAATAATATTTGAAAAAAAAAAGAAACAGGAAAAAGGTGGTGATACCTAAATGTCTGTCTTTAGCCGAGTGTTTAAAACGTGAAACAGTGTTTACCATTGAGACCCTGTAGCACACAGAGACACACACGCACACACACTCACACACGTGGAAGTGCACCTGAAAACATATTATATGATGTGATAGGAACGGTGTTATCCTTTCCCCACTTTTGATATAAATGTTAGCACGTTCCATGAATCATCCAGGCAATTACCCCGAATGATTGTCGGCTCTGAATGAAGAGAACTATTAAAATTACATAGAATGACTCACCCTACGACTGGCGAATAAAAGCGAAGAGATTCTGATATAATCTGGTCCAGGTATTTTATGCCAAAGACGTTGTCGTACGTGAAGGCACCCTGAAAAAACACGTTTTTACTGTGAATGACGAGCGAATAGAAAAAAATTGTGGAGAGATAGTTCATAAAACGACCTACGTCTCTCTTGAGGACGGCAAGGGCATCTTCTCTGAGTCGGTCCTGAATGTCCTGGTGTTTCGCCAGAAGATATGACAGAAACGCCATCGATGAGCCTGTCGTCTCGAACCTGTAAGTTATGCAGTACATAACTTCTTCAATGTTGTTAGAAGTTGCTAGACGCGAGCACGCACTGCGATTCCGCGAGTTTCCATTCAGATGTTACGTCTTCAGGTATTGTTTTTCTTCTGCTGAGCCATAACAGAATTAGAAGGCTTATCGTTTGCCACTGTGAACATTTTGGACAACGATGTGATATACCACGCTTTGTGTGTGATTACTTTGTTGTAAAATGTTTCGTTGGATTTAAGCATGTAGTTGTCCAAATGACTTCCTAGTCGCTGGCCACAACATTTCGTCCACTTAACGTCAAGCAAATAAGCTTTAGAACGTGCGTTGATTCTTACCCCGCTGTGAAGAAACTGAAGCCATTGGCCAAGATTTCTGTATTCGTGAGAACACACGTTTTTCCACCTGCCTTTACCTTTTCAGGCTGGTTCCCTAAAAGATAAGGGAGAGGTGACTTACGTACGTGGTTACAGTTTGTCGTTAAAAGCATGGTGCACATTCGATCGATCACAGGAAAGGCGATTGATTGATATCTGGCGCACAACGTCCCTAAACACCATAAGATATTTAGAGACGCTGTAATGGAGGGCTCTGGAAACTTTGACTACCTTGGGTTCTTTTCCGTGCACCCGAATCTGGGCACACGGGCCTACAGCATTTCTGCCTCCATCAAAAATGCCGCCGCCGCAGCCGGGATTTGATCCCACGACCTGCGGGTCAGTAGCCGAGTACCTTAACCACTATCCACCACGGCAGGGCGGTAACAGAAAAACAACTAAAGAACAAAAATTTTGAATTAATAACCAAAAAATGATGGCAGTTTCCCAAGTGGGAACACTGGTTAGCATGCGGAGCATATATGTTGAACTGCGATAAATGTGTTTTGTAATTTGCGACATGCGTGTGTGTTATTTATTTATTTATTTATTTAAATACCTTAAGAGCCCAGAGGGCATTACATAAGGGGGATACATACAAGAGGTTACTATAGCATCAGTAAAACAACATGTCAGGGAGTAATACTAGTTATCAAACTGACCGATAGCCCAAGCAACATTACTAATAACACAATAAGCAAAAAACACAGTAAGCAGCTCACCATAACAGGAAACATATTTCAAGAAATAGCAATAAACATTCTCTAAGCATGCGTTACACATTACACGAGTAGTGAACACGAGTGAACACGAGTGAACACGCACGTACGTATGCTGCGGAAGAGGCTGTTTATTGGTGAGACGCTTTGGGTATTTTGAGCAAGATGGCCTTATGGTCCGTAAAGTGGAGGGTGGGAGGAGGGGCGGTTGAAGGTTGAAATTCGCAAAGACGTGGTCGATGCAAATCCCGCGAACTGTGGTCGAATGATGTTTGCCGTCGCACTTTGCTCGTTTCAGCGAGTGCCGCGACTCCATGTAGTCAACCACCCAATCGTCCTTGATGGCGTCGACGTTGAAGTCGCCAACTATCACAAAGGGTCGTCGTTGCGGTCGTTGTTTCAGGTATTCTTCCCCGGCTTCGTCGACGTACTTCTCCATGGCGGCGCGCGATAAGTCTGGCGCGAGGTACATCTTCATGACGTCGACTCTGGAGACGCTAGCGACGCAGTGTTCACCGTTGGCACGTTGTTGAGTGCCGGGCTCGACGCTGACGACTCCCGTTTTTGAGTACACGAGCATGAGTACGTGGCCTTGCTCACCGCATCGCGAGGTCTTCTCAGTGCGGCCTTGCCCACGGACGAAGTGTCTTCGGAATTGCTTGCGGTTCCGCCAACACATTGGCTGACGCCATTGCAAGGGACGTCAGTAAGTGTGTTTGCGGATTCGTTAGCATACGTTTTCTCCAGCGACATCGGATGTAGAGCAACCGCACAAACCAAACGACAAAGGGCGGAGTGCCCCGACACACGGTTATTTATAGCGAGCGCTGGCCCCGGCTTGCGCATGCGCGCGTTAGCATACAGATTCCACACGTAAAACTAAAGGTCGCGCTGCGCGTGGAGGGGAGAAGTGAGCGCAGTGCGCGCTGCGTTGAGAGGAGGAAGTGATGCACAGATGGCTGGCAGAGGAGGAGGGCAGGCTGGGGACGCTGACGGCGCATGACTAGCCCCTAGTATAACATAAGTCACAGCTTTGCCGCAAAGATGAACAATGAACTTGAAGGTTACGTGCCGAATGGCAAGCAGATTAAAACGTGCCCCGCGTTTCTAACGCACAAATGACGCACGAAACGTACTCGCAGGTACAGATGAACGCGAATAACTGTCTCAGTTGTTATTTCGCTGCGTCTAAAAAGCGAGCCCTTTTCGCAAATGAAGACTGTACAATGATTGCGGTGACCTTTGTGCGCCCGTTAACTACAAAATTGAAACAGTTCTAGTGAAAACGCAACGCCAGCCAAGACTTACAACTTAGCCCCCAAGTGCTTAGGTCGATGTGTAGGGTATGATGGAGGCTATTAGACTTGCATTGAACAGATACAAAAGTTGGTGTTTTTTAAATTTAATTTGGTGCAGATTTCACATTTCTATCCTGTTTCGTTGATGTCCTGTGACAAGTTGAAAGTGCACCACGATCTTACGAACACCCTGTATTTAATGCAAATAAAATACTTGAAGGAGTGTCGAAAGGGATTTCAAACATCTTCGCATTATTAGACTGGTGTTAAAACCTTATTAGATACAATATGCTGGCTGAGAATGCATACCAGACAATTTTCATTGTCATCATCATCCTCATCATCATTCTGAATACGTGCACTTCAGGACCAAGTCCTCTCCCATGTTCCGCCAGTTAACCTGGTCCTGTGCTTGCTGCTGCCAATTTATACCCGCAAACTTCTTAATCTCATCTGCCCACCTAACCTTCTGTCTCCCCCTAACCCGCTTGCCTTCTCTGGGAATCCAGTTAGTTACCCTTAATGACTAGCGGTTATCCTGTCTACGCGCTACATGTCCAGCCCATGTCTATTTCCTCTGGTTCATGTCAACTATGATATCCTTAACCCCTTGTTTGTTCCCTAATCCACTCTGCTCTCTTCTTGTCTCTTAAGGTTACACCTACCATTTTCTTTCTATTGCTCGCTGCTTCATCTACAATTTAAGCTGAACCCTCTGTGTGTGTCTGCAGGTTTCTGCTCTGTAGCTAAGCACCGTCAAGATACAGCTGTTATGTACCTTACTTTTGAGGGATAGTGGCAATCTACCTGTCATAATTTGAGAGTGCTTGCCAAATGTGCTCCACCCCATTTTTGTCTTCTGGTTACTTCAATCTCGTGGTTCGGCTCCGCCGTTATTACCTGTCCTAAATAGACAGGTCATAACCGCTTTTACAACTTGAAGTGCACTATTACCTATCTCGAAGCTCTGTTCTTTTCCGAGGTTGTTATACATTACTTTCGTTTTCTGCAGATTAATTTTAAGACCCGCCTTTCTGCTCTCCTTGTCTAACTCCGTAATTGTGAGCTGCAATTCGTCCCCTGAGTTACTTAGTAATGCAATGTCATCGACGAGGCGCAGGTTACTAAGGTATTCTCCATTAAATCTTATCCCTAACTGTTCCCATTCTAGGCTTCTGAAAACCTTCTGTAAGCACGCGGTGAATAGCATGCGGAGATTGTATCCCCCTGCCTTACACCCTTCTTGATTGGTAGTCTGTTGCTTTCTTCATGAAGCACTGTGGTAGCAGTTGATCCGCTGTAGATTTCTCGCAGGATGTTTATATATACTTTATCGACGCCGATTCTGCAGTGTCTGCACGACGGCTGATATTTCGACTGAATCAAACGCCTTCTCGTAATCTATGAGGGCTATGTATAGTGGTTGGTTAATTCTGAACATTTCTCTATTACCTGATTGATAGTATGAGTGTGGTCGATTGTTGAGTAGCCTGTTCGAAATCCTGCTTGTTCATTTGGTTGATTGAATTGTAATGTTTTTTACTCTGTTAGCAATTACCTTTGTAAATGGCTTGTATACTACGGAGAGCAAGCTGATCGGCCTGTAATTGTTCAAGTCCTTGTCATCTCCTTTATTATGTATTAAGATGATGTTTGCGTTCTTCCAAGACTCCGGTACTCTTTCTGTCAGGAGACACCTCGTAAACAGGGTGGCTAGTTTTTCTAACACAATCTGTCTTCCATCTTTCAGCAGATCTGATGTTACCTGATCCTAACCAGCAGCTTTGCCTCTTTGCATGCTCTCCAAAGAGTTTCTGACCTCTTCTGTCATTACTGGTGGGGTGTCATCTGGGTTACTGCTAGTTCTTATAGTATTAAAGTCGTGGTTGTCCCGGCTACTGCACAGATCTCTGTAAAGTCCTCCGCTATTTTAACTACCCTATCCATATTGGTAGTTATTTTGCCTTCTTTATCCCTATCCCAAGTTTCGTCTTCACTGCTTTGACGCTTCCTCCGTTTTTGAGAGCGTGTTTAATTTTCTCCATATTATACCATCTTACCTCGCATACTTTACGCCTATTAACCAACTTTGAAAGCTCTGCCAGTTCTGTTTTGTTTGTACTGGGAGCTTTCATGATTTGACCCTTCTTAATGAGATTCTTCGTTTCCTGGGAAAGCTTGCCAGTGTGCTGCCTAACAACCTTGCCTCCAACTTCCACTGCACACTCCGTAACTATACTCGTCAGATTATCATTCATTGCATCTACGCTAACCTTGGTTTCCTCACTAAGAGCGGAGTACCTGTTCTGAAGCAAGACTCTGAATGCTTGTACTTTCCCTCTCAGTGCTAGCACATTGATTGGCTTCTTACGTATCAGTATCTGTCATTCCTTCTTCAAGTCTAGGCGAATTCGAGACCGTACCATTCCATGGTCACTGTATCGTACCTTGCCAACCACTTCCACATCCTGCACGATGCCTGGGTGTGCACTCAATATAAAGTCTATTTCGTTCGTATTTTCGCAATTAGGGCTCCTTCATGTCTACTTCGGTTTTCTGGTTTTAGGTAGAAGGTATTCAAAATCCGTAAATTATTGCGTTCTGTGAATTCCACTAGTAGCTCTCCACTGGTGTTTCTTCCGATGCCATAATCGACTACTGCCTGGTCTCCAGCCTGCTTCTTCTTTACCTTTGCATTTAAGCCTCCCGTCAGTATAGTATACTGTGTTTTACCTTACTCATTGCCGATTCCACGTCTTCATAGAAGCTTTTAACTGAAGCGTCATCATGGCTGAATGTAGGCGCGTAAGCCTGTAGCACCTTCATCTTGTATACTTTATTCAGTTTAATTGCGATACCTATTACCCTTTTCATAATGTTATAGTGATTCCATATGTTGCCAGCTATGTTTCTTTGAATTAGGAACCCCACTGACAGTTCTCGTTTGTCAGCCAAGCCCTGATAGCAAAGGACGTGCCCATTCTGTAGCACCGTATAGGCCTCATCTGTCCTCCTAACCCCACTGAGCCCTATTATATCACATTTAAAACCTTCTAGCTCTTCGAGTAGTACAGCTAGGCTTCCCTCACTAGATGAGGTTCTAGCGTTAAACGTTGCCAAGTTCAGGTTCCAATGACGGCGTGTCCGTATCCAGAGATTCTTAGCACCCACTGCTGCGTTGCATATCTGATCGCCGCCGTGGTCAGTTGCTTCGCAGCTGCTGGGGACTGAGGGCCGTGAGGTATTTTGACGTATGCATGTGGGAGGTAGGGGCCAGATACTGCACCAGGGTGGCCAATCCTTCTCTAGTAAGGGAGTGCGTTCCCAGTGGTGGATACCGGTGAGGCCGCACCCAGGCCTCTTAATGCAGTTCCATCACCAGGCGGATTCTTTTATCCGGTTGAGAACTGCGAGGCACCGGGATTCGAACCACAGACCTTTTTCATCCGAGGCGGATGCTCTAACCACTACGCCATCGCTGCACTCCTGAAGTGTACTAAGGGCTATCCATTTGTTTCACAATGTTGATGTGGGAAAAGGACCAAGCAGGTCTAACCTAACACGGTAAAATAGTTCGGTGGGTATGTCAATTGGGTGAAGATGGCCAGCGGGTAGCACAGACGGTGTTTTACGACAATGGCATAGGTCACACGTGGCGACTAATCAGTGTATCGAGCGAGCAAGGTCTGGCCAGAAGAAACGGCGTTGGACCCACTCGTACGTGCGGGATACACCAAGGTGTCCAGCCATGAGAGCATCGTAAAGTTCGGTGAGAACACAGTGGCGCAAATGCTGAGGCACAACAATGAGAAGGACGGGCCCGTCTGGTCAGAAATTGTGACGGTATAACACGCCCTTTTGAATGATAAAGTAATCGACGGAAGCATCGTTTGGGGAGGAGTTCATACGACTGATGATATCAAGCAGCACTGGATCGCGCTTCTGTTCTTCCCCAATATTAAGGAAGTCGGACACTGACAAAATAGAGTTCTCCGTGGGCTCATCAGTGTCCTCAGGATCGTCGACAGGTTACCGGGAGAGGCAATCGGCATCATGGTGTAGGCGGCCTGATTTGTAGACCACCGAATAGGAAAACTCTTGCAGGCGCAAAGCCCAGCGACCAAGGCGGCCTGATGGATCTTTCAGACAGTTGAGCCAGCAGAGCGCGTGGTGGCCGGTAACCACCGAAAATGGGCGTCTGTATAGATAAGGTCAAAATTTCACGAATTTTCAAATTTTCAGTGACAATTTTCATATAGCTACCTTAAAAAATGTTTTTGATATCGAGGCAGCGGATTTCAAGTGACATATATCTGCAGTGTGACGTAAATTGGAGAAAGCCACCCACAACTTGCTAGGTCCAGATCTTAAGAATAATGAGTGGACAGCTGTCTGGAGAAACTGACAGTGAGGTCGCGTTTCGCGGATGGTTGCTGATGCTCAGAACTTCGGAATCAAGTTAAATTCTTCATGCTGTTGTCTAAAATATCTTTTTCTATGAAGTCTAAATATCGTATCAGTACATTTTTAACCTGAACTGATACATGCTATGAAACGTCGGCAAAGGTTAGTACCTTCAGATGCGCTATCAGCATCCCCGGATGCCGTGAGCGAGTGCACGTTCACAAGGTTAGCGTCCTCCACTTCAGCATTGAGCATCAGCTGCAGAAAATCGCACCTATTTCTCTGAAACCACGAAAATTAGACAATTTATTGACAGATTTTATAAATCCAAATAATAAATAATAATAATAATATAATAAAAACATAAAATTGTTGCTGTAGTTTAACGTCTCAAAACCACCTGATGAGGCTCCGGATATTTCACACACCTGGGTTGTTTAACGACTGCCTAAATCTAAGCAGTTGAGCCTCAAGCATTTCACCTTCACCGAAAATGTGGCCACCACACATAGAAGGTACAGAAATGCCAACTGATAAAATAGTGTTGTACGTACTAGTGACAATGAAGATGATCTTTTTCATCTGTGAAGGTAGAGTGCGATTGAAACAAAAACTGATTTGCTGAATGAAACTGCCATGTTTACGAGCAGATGCCACCACCTACTGTTGACTACCACCAGTGATGCCTGTCAGTGGTAGCAAACGTGTTGTGTTATCTAATTACAAGCACTGTTGGAGATTAGCTGCCATACGAACAACGATCTCATTCAATATAAATGCAATATCATGTTACGTGACAGCATCATCATGTCCCGCAATGACGTTCTTAAGTGACATCAGCATGATGCCTCTGACCAGATAAGATCATGGCGTCGTCATTACGCTAGCAACGAGGTCATCATTGAATTCATCTCATCATATTGTACCACGTGACGGCGCCCTTCACATAATCTTGTGGCTGACGTTTTCTGGTGAGGTCACCACAGAACAAGCGCCTCTCCTGTATCTTTTTAGCTCTCTATTGCCATTTTTGGGGCTAACTTGCATTGATAATATTTCATACCTCGAAAAAAGAGACCGTTTGCCCGGTGCTATTTTTATTGTTGACAGAAGGGACTGTGACTTAAATGATCCTTTATATTTTCGGCCTTCTGTATACAACACAAAGAGGAGAAGTGAAAATTTTGGATAGTCGCACGCTCTGTTCCAATATGTTGAAGTGTTTTCTTAGGACCTTGTTTATGTTCGGTGGTTGCTCGTGAAAGTTAATAGCAAGTTTTGTTGCGGTGTTGGTCGGCGTTTCTCTGGTGGTTGAGAAGAATCTGGCGGTCCAGATTTTCAGCTTTTTTGATGGCGTCATCGATGATAGCTGGTGGGTATTCTTGATTAAGGAGTACTTCGCGCATATGTGTGCTGTTTTTGTGGAAGTCCTCGGTGCGGGAGCAGATTCGTCGAAATCTGTGTGCTTGGGAATAGGGAATGCTGGTCTTGCAATGTCGCGGGTGGCAGCTTTTTGAAGTGCAGGTATTGTTGCCTGTCTGTAGGTTTTCTGTATACGTTAGTTACCAACGCACCATCGTCAACTCGAATGAGTACATCAAGAAAGTTTATTTCAGTGTTAGAGTAGGTGTGTGTAAAATAAATGCTGGGGTGTACCTGGTTGAATGCCTGTATGAATTTGAGGAGCTCGTTTTCCGAATGTGTCCAAATTATGAATATATCATCTAGGTACCGTTTATAGAGTAATGGTTTGATATTACAAGATGAAAGAAAATTGGACTCTATGTGGTGCATGAATATGTTGGCGTAGTTTGGGGCCATTCTTGTACCCATTGCCGTACCGCCAGATTCTTGTACCCATTGCCGACCGCCAGATTCTTCTCAACCACCAGAGAAACGCCGACCAACACCGCAACAAAAACTTGCTATTAACTTTCACGAGCAACCCACCGAACATAAACAAGGTCCTAAGAAAACACTTCAACATATTGGAACAGAGCGTGCGACTATCCAAAATTTTCACTTCTCCTCCTTGTGTTGTATACAGAAGGCCGAAAAATATAAAGGATCATTTAATAAATTCAAAGATAGGTGTGAAACCTCAAATTGGGTGTCACCCTTGCGGAAAAAGCAGATGCAGGGTATGCAAACACATGCAGACAACGACAGTGGCGAAAAGCACCCACTCGGATTTTAAGCACAGGATAAGAGGTGCACTAGACTGTGACTCAGACAATGTCATATACCTCCTGGAATGTGGGGTATGTAACAAGCAATACGTGGGCCAGACAGACACTCCGTTTAGAATTAGATTCAACAACCATCGGGCACATGTACGATCTCTTACAGGCCTTCCACTTTCAAAACACTGCACATTAAAAGACCACAGCTTTGATGACATCAGGGTTACACTACTAGAAAACAACTTTAGAACAATCAGAGAACGGGAACAACGGGAATCTTATTTTATCTACAAATTTAACACGGTAAAATACGGAATAAACGAACACCCAGGCACTCTGTCTGCGTTACGACCGCTAAAAGACGTAAACGCTTCTCTCTAATCAGTCCGGTTTCATTACGACAATAATATTACCCGCTAACAAAGCTTTTGGCCTATGCATCTGACAACATAGAAATGATTTGCCTCATCAAGCACAGCCGGAACGCACAGATAAGTGGTCCCGGAGGTCGTACTGTCCCCCCCTACCCCCTTTTTTTTTTTCTTCGTCAAGCTCCAACGCACATTCTGTTCCTTCACTGACAAGGAGCTGACAGCTAGGTGGTTTCGTTAACTTTTTCCTACATGCGCGCATATCTTCCCAGTGCGCCACAACTGTGTGGTGACTGTCCCGGAGTGGTACAGTCTCCCCCCCCCCCCTGTTCTTCTTTTTTTTTTCCTTTTTTTTTCCTTCGTTAAATCCTTTAACGCACATTCTGCTCCTCCCGATGCCACCAGCATGCACTTAAAGCGCTTAAGCCCTCCCCATTAACTTGTCATACACTTCAAAGAGGAACGAGCCGCCAGCGGACTACACGGAAAGGTGAAAATACAAAAACCGCGGCTCCCTGCCCACTTGGGGAAGTGTGGGTGCGGGGGAGGTATTGTTGACAATGATGACATTCCTCATCTACCTCTGCCCTACTCTGTTGAAATGCTGCTCCTTTCTAATTACGCCATGTCGGTCTTGCTTCTTCTCCTAGATTTTCTATATTTTATTTAATGTTTGTCCTCCTGTTTCGCTGTTTCTTCTTTTTTTTTCTCTCTCTCTCTCAATTGACCCCTCCCCTCCTGTCTCGACAGGATATAAAAAGGCACGGAACATGTGTAAATAGTATTATGCCTTGAAAAAGACAGGGTTCCTGTCGAAACGTCGGCACAATAAACAGTTGTTATGTGAAAGCGCATCTACTTTCATATTTATATATATATTTATATATATATGTGAAAACAGAAGAAAGAAGAAAAAAACAAAAAAAAGACCCCGGCCCGCGGAATCGAACGTGAGAACTGCGCGTCGTGAATGCGAGGCGTTAACCACTAAACCCACGAGAGGCACCTCCTTGAACGTTTAAACGGCAAACTATTTCCATCTGCCACTTACCGCTGTTGGCGGGCATTTCGGGGGATGGGGGGACTATCCTGTTTTTAGCATTATCCGGAAGATGACTCAAAGAGCACGCGGCTGCTCTCATCTCTCACACGTACTATGCCCATCGGAGAGAAGGGGAGTGGACAATCTCTCTTGCGCTCTTATCTCCCGGTGGGGAGGATCGCACGTTTTGGCTGGTGTTGGCTTCGCACTGGAACGGTTCTGTTGTAGTTGCGGGGCGCACCGTGGTCACTGCAATCGTTGCACAGCCTCCATTTGCGAAAAAGGCGCGCTTTTCAAACACAGCGAAGTAACAACTGAGACGCCTATTCGCGTTCATCTGTACCTGTGAGTACGTTTCGTGTGTCATTTGTGCGTGAGAAACGCGGGGCACGTTCCGATCGGTTTGCCATTCTGCACGTAACTTTCCAATTCATTGCTATCGCGTTCATTGCTTCGCCTTTGCGGCAAAGCCTCGGCCTTTTGTGTCTATCAAAGTAAAAATTTATTGTTATGGTTAACATGCTAACTACTACGTAGATATGTGTGAAACCGTTGTGCAGTATCCACACAAACTTCCGCTCAGCCCCACGAAACAGCACGTTTAAAATTGACACATAATTACAAGCGCCTGGTTTAGTTATTATGGTGCTCGGCAGCTGACACGAAGTTTGCGAGATAGAATTCTGGCCGCAATTTAGATGATACAGGTCGGGGCAGATGGATTTGAGAGCACGTTAGGAAGCCCAGGTGGTCGAAATTTCCTTAGCCCTACAAAAAAGGCCTCTCTCTTATTTATTACAATAACGCCACGGTGATATATTTGTTATGGTTCTTGACTGCAGACCCGAAGGTATTCATAACAACTTCAGGTCGCGGTGTTGGTGTTTTGGCGAAATCGAAATGCCCCAGGCCCACGTACAGTGCGATGCCTGGGCAGGTTAAAGAGCACCTGATTTATTTGCTTTATTTCATTACCCACAGCGCATTACAGTGGTGGAGCGTTTACAAAAAGTAGAATACAAAAATAGGGATGGTCAACGTCTCCAGAGCCCTCCGTTATGGGGTCCCTCAAAACCTGATCATGGCTTTGGCGACGTAAAATCCCAACTATTATTACATGCGACTACATAATATTATTAGATATCATAGAGTATATTATGTTGTGTAACCTGTAGTTACCACATGTTTGCATTTATGCATTGTCGTACAACCTAGAGCAAGTTGTTTGCTGTTTCTATGTATTCTGCTGTATAACCTATACTTGTTGCACTATACTTGTGCAAGGTGGGAGACATGAAGGAGCTTGTGATAACCTAGCTTCTTCTAGCTTTTCAAGTTAGTCGTGCACTCATCTGCTTGGTAAAAACCGCATTATTCCTGCCCTAATTTGGAATATAGTAATCGAGTAGGGCGTAATTACGAATATACTGACCTGTTTTGTTTTCAATGGTAAGCTTTCAAATAAGAGGCATTTATCTCAGGCCTAATTAGCAATGCCATGATCAATGGTAAGCTAATAATCTAATCCTCACTTGCACAATTCTAATTTTCATATAAGTTAAGACTAACCTATGGTCTTACTTAGTGTGTTCATGAATAACGTAACGGTAATTAACAACGTTCAGATAGCTCTTCAACTAGCATGTTTTAGTTAGCCTGGCCTTACCCTACATAGCGTCATTATCTTGATGTTCTTAAGATGTGGTGCAATTACGCCAGCCTTACCATAACTTCCACAACTTGCCGTAATTAGCTTGGCCATAGCATGCCCTGGCCTAGCTAGCCGAGTACACTGCCCAGTCAAATAGCTAATTACCCTACCATGCGGGATCAGGTGATGATGTAGTCTACGAAGAAGGCACGCACCAGCTGAGCAGCGCGCTAGAGTGTGCAGGCCGGACATGATGATTAAGACGTGGTCTCAGGTTTAGCTGTGGTTGTGATATTGTTAGACGCTCGGCAGGAACTAATCTCAGAGGCAACCTTGTTGAGTATTCTAAAGCAATCTTAGTGGAGGTATTGAAAGCTTCAAAATAAATTTAAACACCGTGTGCGTCTAAAAAAATATCATCGCGTAAAGTTTCTGACGCCTTCATATCGCGGGTGCACTTCTGCACTTGGTGGAACGAAAAACAAAGAAAAGAAGATGCACGTGGTTCGAAACCACCACCCAACTTTGTCGACCGTCCTTGACGTGATGCCGCGTTCCGTCGTAACGAATGAAATGCAACGCGCTGAGGGGTGAATTGGACTTTGTCGTACTGTTTGCTCAATCGAAAGTGGGTGTCGCCAGAGCTCGCAAGGAGCCCGAGCTGATCTCCAGTTTCGCCAAGCTCGAGGGATCCTGCATAGTGATTTAGATTTCGTTTGAGATCGGCAGTTTTCCTTATATAAAAAAACCAAATAAATATTTATACGCACTCTGTTGCAGCCTGTATGTCATCTATTCGGTGACTTTAATACATTTCTTCGAATTCTGCAGATGCCGTCTAAACCTGTCTTCCCGTGCCCGCTTCATCGAGTGCCAATAATGTAGTGTGATGGGCTACCGAGGTGAATAACGTTTCGGCTCACCTTCTTCATGTTGCTCGTCGTGAAAGCGGGCGTCAGAAGACCGCGCATCTTCTTCCAGCGCTCTCCCTGAGCGTTGAAGGTGCTTTTTTTGTAGATCGGATGAGTGCTCGCAAAGCTGGACGACACCTGGAAGTATTCGTACGCTTTAACATTCATTGCTTCGTTGTCAATTGGTGAAATCACTGTGCACTTTTCCTGCATGGTTGAGACACCATTTGACATTGCGAATACAGAACCAATACAACAAAGATGAACAATAAGGATTCTTTTTTCATGCGCGGAAAATGAGAGTTGACGATGCTTGGCGTGTGCGCATTTATTTATTTTAATTATTTATTACAACGAAAGGTGTTATGAGATGACAACTAGGGTCTCGCGAAGCGCCGTAGTTATCCAGGGCACAACAAAAAGAAGCAGTAATAGTCCGACACAAACTAAAATTCCCTAAGTGCTGCCAAGGGCTCTACCCTTGACAACAACTCAGATACAATCTCCAGTGTTTTCTGCCGTCCAACAAACTTGGCCATACATTGACGGAAATACATTCGTGCAGGCCGTTCATCCCGATCGCAAGAAAAACCCGCCACACGGGCCCACCATGAACAGTGAAGGCCACATAGCATAATCAAATCAAAAGGCATTCCCTTTTCATCCACTATTGACAGAAATCTTATAGCATAAGAATTTAAAGGTAATTCTTTCTTTAACGTCCTTTGAAGTACATCCCAAAAATATACTTCCTCCCAACAATGTTAGAAAACATGGTTCATAGTTAACAGTTTTTTCACAGATAGGCAATTTGTCCCCCAAGGTAGGTAAAAACCACGGTCAGCTTTAAATGTCCCTGACAGATAATGTACAAGAAGGACTTCGCGGCAGGAACCACTTGCATTCTCTTCACACGTTTAAGCACATCTTGCCTTTAACCTCCAGTGTACATAGCATGGTACAGGAGTTCAGGTAAAACAACATCACACACATTGTTGTATAACTTTTTTGGAGTCACTGAAAACAAATATTCATATGAAAATCTAAGAGATAGAAACCGTACACTTAGAATAACCTCTTTAAGATGCCCGCTGACAGCACCGGTCATGCCGTTCGTTTGAACCACATATCCAGGTAAATCCCGCATCAGTCTCAGTTTGCACACTGTACGTAAGAAAGAATCTCTTGTGAATGAAAAAAAGAGAACCTTTACGACTTGGCATATGAACGATGTGGCAAACCCCGACCTCCATGTTTTACTTTTCGAAACAGATTAGTTCGACTGCATCTCTCTCAGTTCGAGGCCCGCACGAATAAATACGAAGATGCGATGGAGCATCTGTATGTGCGCCCTTGAACCATGCAATACTTGCATCACATAGAAAAGTTTAGAGGTAAAGACAGTCACCCTCGAAAACACAGACAGATGATTACCATTGCATCTATCGGCTTTCGTCCGGATTTCTTTCGCTTGTTCTTGCCAGTAGTTTTCACTATCTTTATAATGTTTCAATGGCACCACAAGGTACTGGACAGGTGTGGTCATCCATTTAACTTTGGCAAGATAGTGTGGTCTTGGCGACCACTCTCCATGTCAGAAACCCAGACACTTTCCCCAGTTTACTAGATTGTAAGTTACATTGCCGAACCTTTTAACTACATTGATAGTAGTAGTAACACCATCTTGATCGGTACAGCAAACAGCCACATCGTCGGCATACGCCAGAATTTTAACTTCGGATTCTTGTAATCTAAAGCCATGAATGCTACTGTTTTGAGTTATTGCTTGCTAAGCACAACGATTCTATATTTAAACTGAACAGTTGGGGATTCAGCGGGCAGCCCTGACGGACAGAATGCTTTATGTTAACTGTATCTCCTAGCGTCTTGTTGATTACCAGAATGGTCGTGCAGTTCTGGTATGCCACAGATACCCCATCTCTAAATACAGAATCAACGTTGACATGGTCAAGAATGGCAAGCAGAAGGTTATGGGAAACACAATATAAGCTTTCTCGAGATGAATCTGTTGAATGGCTACCTCTCTTTTATTGGCATCGCAACACTCGAGCACGCAGCGCATCTTGTGTATATTGGTCACAATGGAGCGTCCCATAATCCCTCATGTTTGGTTCTACCGATTCTTTGATTACCCCTTGAAGTTGTCGTGCTAGTACTTTCAATAAAATTTTGTAATCACAATCAGTCAGTGATTTAGGTCTATACGAAATGCTAATTTTAACTTCTCTGAGTGTTCTGTCTTAGGTATCAAAAGTATACGTGCTTCGCTAAAGGACCTAGGGAGGCCATTAGGTTGATAAGCCTGACTGAAGACGTCTGCGTGTACTTGGGATAGTATTTTTAAACTCCTTATCAAACGAAGCACGAAGCCCGTATGGCCCGGGAGATTTACCAGGATTCATTTTATCTATAGCCCTTTCTACTTCCGTTGTCGTTATGATACCTTTAAAGCTGATTTGGTGTCGTCTGACAACTTCGGCATTCTGCCAAGGAAATCTTGCTAAATGCCTCTGAATTAATAGGCGTGGCAGCGAAGAATGCTTCCTAGTGTTTGCCAATTGCTCGTCCTATGCTCTCATTATCTGAAGCTTAGATACCGTTGACTTCAATTACAATTATATGATTTCTTCTGGCATGACTCTTCTCTAATCCAAGCCCTCGCTTAGTCAGGCGATCATCCACAGTCACTGATGTTTCTCTGGCTCGCCCTAGCGCTCCGCTATAGCATTCTTTCTCACATACATCTATACTCTGTTACATACTCCTCATATCCTCTGCACATACTCTGGGTTTTTTACATTCGAGAGCTGTTGGCCTCTCAAGTGTTCGTGTAAGCTCTTTCTCCTTATTTTAGATTCAAAACATAAAATGCTAGATCTCTCTTGCTTGGGACTTGTTGGCAAACTTGCCTCAGGCAGGCTTTATGTCGGTAAAGAAATCGCGTAAAAATACGACTTATAAAGCGTTTTAAACCAGCGAAAGAACAAGCAGTTGTCACACAATGCGAATAGTGTAACGAATTGGTAGGTAGTCTAATACTCGAACCAATTACAAAAGTTTATTTTTTGTAAACTTATTAACTGTGGTGGTCTTTAGACACAATTCCTCATCGTCGATAGCCACTGGATGAATAATTGGGAAAAAAATTCTTCGCAACAGTTTAGCGGACACCACACTTCTCAGAAGAATGATGAAAAATAGCATAGCGAATGCCAGTCTATTACCCAAAAGTTTATTAATGCCGTAGTGGGTACCGAACAAGTGTGCTTCCATCAGTTACCCAGTGATTGTTTAGAAAAGGCTCTGAAAGGCCGCTCTTCTAGCTTTCGCTGCGACTGTGCTGCGCCTTCCACGCAGGCCTGGCGTTTTTCATTTATTTCTCATGGCGCATTGCTTTCTCGTAGCTTTTTCCTCCTTCACTGTCGAGTACAGCACCTTGATGCTTGTGCCCCACGCAACAATGCTGTTGCTCCAGGCAAGAACTACCACCACAATTGTAACAGTGAGAGGCAGCGACGTAAAATAACTGGCCTCGATGGCACAGTGGAAAGGGGCTCTGCAACACATTTTGTGCATGGTGAGGAAACACTGCCGATCGGTAGTAGAGGCTCCCGACAACACGCGAGCCAAATTATATAGCGCAGCACGTGGCCTGAAATTCACTATAATTTATCGAATTCAGCTGAAAATTGCTATCTCTTCTCTGGACAAATCACGAAATGTGCAAAAAAAAATCACACGTAGCAAGCCCATCTATCAGCCATTGGATGATTTCAACACGGCGCACTCACTCGTTACAAAGCTTGCCACGGGAGGCCGCTACTTGTACACGCGTGCATGCGCGGTCACACTGAGTAAGCCACGCCTACGAAGAAACAAAAAAAGAAAAACGCCCTTAAAGTCAAAAGGCGCGCGTGATGTTTCTTTTTGGCCCTGCGATCCCTCTCTGCTCAGCTTCCAGCGCTTTATTCGGGGCGAGAGATGAAAGAATGCAATTGCAGCATGTGACAGACTTTTATAACTCCACTCGCACTAGACGGATTCTTAAAAGTATTGCGGTGTTGAATTCGGAAGAGATAAGCTCTTCCAGTGAATTCATTTAATGCGTACTTGAAAAAGTGTTTCAGGGCTCCTTTGAGGACGCATGTTAATGACACTGGTCATAACGGTTAAAAGTGTCACTCTTCGGTCGTGATAGCCAACGTTCTCCAACATAGACACAAAAAAACACAGCCCTGTTAGCTCGTGGTATGGTGTATCGATAAATTAGTACACGCGTAGCTTCAGGTTAGTCTTATCTAACTCCGAATGAGTGCTGGGTATGATACACGGGAATTCCGGGAAAAGAATTGCGATGAAAAGTTCCCGGCATTATTTACTTTAAAAATTCTGTTTGAAAGCATAGCAATAACATTTATCAGGTGTCTGTGGGCCTGCCAAAAGCTGCACGAATTATGGAGGTTTATACTCACCCCTCGGCTATGAAAATTATGGAAATCCTTTATTTGGATCTTCTTGATTAGTTCCGGGTCTTTCACGATAAGAAATGGGTGAGCACCATTGTAAAAACTGAAAAGTGACGTAAAAAAGAAGGTTACATGTAGAGGACTTAGCTTAACCACGATGTGCTAGGTCGAAAGTATATCTTGTAAGGATAAAATCACAGTTCGGGAAACTCGCCACGTTGTGTATTTTGAGGTATCGCAAACGTTTTTACATGGCGCTGACTTTTGATCCTGCATAAGAAAGATCGGGTAGTCGTCATGGCGATAACGTGCCAGTATTTCAACGCAGAGTGTTGTACTGAGATACCCTGAATATGAAATGGCTAATCATTAAGGTAAAAATGTACTGCACTTCACGTTTTTATAAAATATTTATGCTTTACACAACGAACCACTAACTACTGTGTAAAGCACAAAAAACAGCTATACCATACTAAAGCCACATAGGAGCCCTTCTCCAGGTAGAAAGGTTTCCGTTATAGTTGCCAATTAGCTAACATTGCTTTTATATACTTTTCACGAAGCGCATATCTGCAGAAAACAAAATGCTTACGAAAAATAAGAAAACTGATACACGTACCCAACAATGTCACCATATTTGTCCAGCCATTCCTTGTATCTATCCAGTGTTCCCTACATAGGAACAACGGGATCAACTGCTAGAATACACACAATAGAAAAATCAAACGGTTCAGCTTTCTCTAATTGCCTCTGTCGATGCTTTTAATACACTGTTTTGACATTTACGGCACTTTAGATTTATTTTCCATCAGTAAGTTAGCCAGCTTTATAATATCAGTTAATGTTCACACGTTCTCTTTGTGTCCCACACCACGGTAATAATGGTCATAAGTTTTTTCACGTGTGAATAATAATATGACAGAGTTATTTAGAATATTTAGTTTTTTTACCACCTTGAATGGTTTATGGACAGCTTTATTAGGCTTCGAAAATCATGTGGCATTCACTTTCAGGAACTCTCAAGTGACTTACCTAACCTGTTTAGATTTTATGTGAGGTTTACTTTTAGGGGAATTCTCAGATAACTTCAGAAATCTGGTTCAGCTTTCACGTGACGTTCATATTGGCAAGAATCTCAGATGGTTTCTCACTCTCGGTACATGCTGTACTCGTTACAAAAAATTGATCAACCGGTGCATTGCGTAAACACGTTCTTGGAGGACATTTCGCCTTTACCTTCTGTATAAGTTCGGATAAGTTTCCAGAAAGAAAACTTGGTGGGGGACCTGGAATTCCAAGGTCTTTAAAGAAGGAAAACCGCCTCCTGCGTTGTCTGAAAAACACAAAACACATAAGGCTGTGATCATTTGTTTACAGCTTATTGATTTTTACAGCTTCCTTATCTAAAAAAAACCAGTTGCGTAACAAAAGCATACACACTACAAAAATAGTCATGCGCGCTTCTCACAACAGCCTGTCATTAGTCAATAAGTAAATAGAGAAGTCATGAGCCAACGGCAGGGGCCGCCATTATGGTCGGGAACGTGCATGACTGCAATGGCGTACTCACATAGGCAAGTTAACCGCCGTTACGAACAACGACGGTGAACCGCGCGAAACCGCAGGGAGCGCCAACTATGGTTCACCGATTCAACACACAGTTAAAACGTCCTCGGTTAAGGCCAAGGACGCCTTAGAGGTGTGTAACCACTAAACCACGGTTGCCATGCTCGGCTGCCTACAATCGCGGGGAGCGGCATATCCGTGGTTTCGCACACCGTGTAACAAGTAAAAAAGGGAGGGTTGGTTTCTTGGTGGATTTGATAATCGACAGAGCATATCCAAGTACAGTGGTAATCTGAGCTTTTTTAGGTAAATGATGTTCTATGTAGCAGTGAAGCCAAAGGGAGTGCCCCCTCGATTTCTCTGAGCGCAAAAACCTCGCGTATGTCGATGATGCTGGCTTGAACTTCTCCTACAGTCATTGCTATCCCATCTCTCGTATAAGCAGGACACGTTTCAGAAATACAAAAAAATCTATTATATGTAGCGCTCGTTCTGTCGTACTTTCGTCTCCTTGTTTTGAGCTGTGGCTTCACAAAAAGTTCGTTTTCTTTGTAATTTGTCATGTTCTGTCTTAGTTGTTTGGCATCTCTTAAATATATGGTGGTGCAAATAAGGGAAGACAACAAAGCCATGAAGCCGTAAACTGATTGATTTGGAGGTCCATGTAATTTGTGGTTTCATTCAAACTTAGCGCAGAAGAGTAGGTGGTCCTAAATGTAATTGTATTGCAAAGCTGTACTAAGTGGAAGCTTCTCAGGTTGAGACTCTTATATGGTGCGGTGGTTTAAAAAAATCACAGCATATCTGCGGAGTGAGTGATGAGTGTGACGAAGCGTCCGTTGGTCCATACATGCTTCCGGACACACGGACGGATGAATAGAATCACGGACGGGAGCACGGAGGAAGGGATGGATGGATGAAAGGACGCACGGGTGGACCCACGGAGAAAGAGACAAACATAGAGATGTACGGTGGCACGGACGGGTGTACAAATGGACAAACAGACAGATGGAAGCGCGGATGGACGGATGGACAGACGAATGGACGGAAGCATGGATGAATAGACAGAATGACGCACGGACGGACTGATGGATGAACGGACTATCTGTCTGTTTGTCCGCCCATCTTTTTGTCTGTCGGTCCATCCATTCCTCTGCCTGTCTATCCGTCCTTCCGTCCATCCTTCTGTATGTCTATTAGTCCGTCCATCTGTCTGTTTGCCTGTCCATTCGTCCGTCCGTCTGTCCGCCACATAATCAAACTTATATGAAACTAAACCACACGGAACACGCGGTCACTTCATCTATTGATCATTTCACATACAGCAACAACATTGCGCCACATAGCGAAGATTCTTAGAAGTAAGGCGTAGCTGGACTGAGCCCCAGCGCAGATGGATAGAGCCACAGAGCAACGAGCTCCGCCCATAAAAAAAGGGAGGGTTGGTTTCTTGGTGGATTTGATAATCGATCTCTCTTGGACCCCAGCGGTAAAGTACGTGAAAAAGGGGCTGCCTGCCATTTGCGACTTGTTAGGTTTCTTGCTGGCAAAACTTGGGGAGTGTCCGTCGAGTGTAGGTTAGACCTGTAAAAAGCATTATCTGTTGAAACCCTGCGCTTCAGCCCACCTGTAATACCTTCCAACTCGTGCAAAAATTGGGGAACCCTTAAGCTTCGCTTTTAGGAGTTGAATGCGATTCGCAACTTTCACGGCCTATAGGTGGCGCGACCCTACATCCAACATGGCTGTCGTTGAGATGATCGCCCCAAAAGAGACAGTACCGTAGAGTACACTTTCGGCGAAGACTGCAATATGTGGCGCTTCAGCGACCTTTTGATTTATGGTTTTGAGATTGTAGGGGAGCGCCAACATAACATATTAGGTGAATAAATTCTGGGTACAACTTGGTAGAGAAATATGCGCAATATTGTAAATAAGGCACACACGTACGCACGTTCTTCACGAGGCGTTGTGCGTAATCGCGCGCAATGACTGGTGTCACGTTGGAAAAGTGTTATACTGGGAGTCTCAGTACAAATTTCTCAGTAATCTCAGAAACTTTTTCGGACACGTGATTTGCCTTACAGTTTTGATTGCATGGAATTCTGCGCAAAGCTTGTACAGCTCACCTAAAAGCGCGAAGCAGAGTAAGCTGACGAAAAAAATTGTTTTTCAATACTGAAGCACAAGCACCATGTCATATTACCGGATATAAAATTTAGGGATGCTTTCTTGACCAAAAAACAAAACAACCTAATATCAAGAAAATGATTTCGGCAAGCAGCACGAACGAAACCAGTAGTTATATACAATTCTCACGTTTAAGAGGGGTCGTTCCCATTACTATTCTATGCTTCAGTGTTTGATAAGTACAAAAGATAGCATGGTACGAGACGGAAACGACAAAAAAAAAAAAGAAAAACCGCCATCAAGAGGTAAGACCGAGCACAAATTGCTGCAGGTCATGGAGGTCATGGTCATGGAGGCATTTCGCAGGTGCCTCAGATGTGCAATAATGCAAAGAACGTTTTGAAACCGGTCCTTTCATTCTATTCTAGAGGCGGAACGCTTTCCTAATTTAGTTCTTGTTTTGTTTGCACAGCGACCGTGTCAAGCAGACGATCTAAGCAACAACTGCAAATTATGAAATGAAACCTCGATGTTGCTGTGCTAGTACACAAAATGGGGGCTGCACACATTCACGGGCGTTATTTGCCTGTTAATTTTGACCTTCCTAATCATTCATGGCTTTTTGGGGCGCTAGTTTGAACGGGAGGTTTTACTTTTTCTCACGGTGTATGTAAGCTAGGAGCATCGAGGCTCGCAATCAGTCGGTTTCTTTCTACTTTCTCTTTACGTTGACAAACCCAAAGGGTTTCGGTAATGTCAAGGCCGTTCAAAACGTTGCAAAACGACCCCAATTGCAGTGAAACAAGCAGCAACAACTGCGGTTTGATGCTGGTCCAAAACACCGATCATCTCAACAGAGCTTCCAGCCGCCACCACACAGCGACGTCATGGTACCTGGAAGTGGCGAATAGCGAAATCCGGCCCCCAGTGAGCCATTTAACCGCTAAGCGCATATTTATTATTATGTTTTGTTACATACACACACACGGGCGCACACAAACAGCGCACAGTAGTTCGTACCAGCACACGCGCGCGAATGGTGCGTACAGGTCTCTGATCTAAAGCGAGTCGCATGACCTCCAAGATACAAGCCACGTGCTCACCATTTCGGAGGCCATAAAGAGCCTCACAATGCCTCACAGATAGCAGCACATTATCCAGCGTTTGTTGTTTGCTTGATCAACGCCTCTAGAAAGGCATGATGTTTTTTCCGCTAGATAGACCCAATTGTCCATTTTTAGAGCTGTTTCAAAGTTCCTGTGTGTATTTAGTGGCGATGGCTGCACTATCCTGGCCTTTTTTACGTAGTTTGGGGCTCCCCCGAATGCACTACAAATCGCCGAATGGGCTCGTTTTCGTCGTAACACCTGTAGAACAAAATGAGTTAATAAGGCCCTGAAACATTTTCTAAAGTAACCATGAAATGAATTCACCAGATGAGCTTATTGTTTCACGAATACAACGCCATAAAGCTTTTAAGAATTCGTCCAGTGCGAATGAAGTTACAAAGGTTTGTCGCATGCGGCAATTGCACTATCTCTCGTCTGTTGTATTTCGCTGCAGTACGTTACCCAGACAACACTGCGTCTCCCTCTTTTCGTGACGGAGGATTGTCGGACGCGCTGAAACGTGCATAGGTCAAAGCAACGCAGCGCGGCGTGTGCCTCCGAGTATATATGGCTGGACCGGCGCCTGGCGTGGCAACGCCGGCGCGACGCGATTAAATGAAGGCCCGCGAGCACGCGCACCGCGTCACGTCCAAATGTATTGGCGCCTTGACTGTGGCATGTAGTCATGTTCTATATTGACACGCATCTCATGATTATCATGTTTGCACTAGTCACATACCTTCATCATTCATTGGCGTCACGTAATACAAAATTTGGCATACGTGAAGCTTGCGAAATGGCCGCGAGCGCCTCATATGTGTGAAATGTAGTAATTTTGTTACATGACACGCATGTCATGATTATCATGTTTGGATGTGTCATTTACCTATATCGTCCGCTTGAGTCACGTAATGTCGAGTTTGGTACATGTAAAGCTAGCGAAACAGCCGCGAGCGCATGCGGAGCGTAGCAGGTAGTCATGTTGTTACATGACACGCATCTCATGTTTATCATGTTTGCATCAGTATCATACCTTCGTCACCCATTCTTGTACCGTAATACAAAATTTGGTTTAAGTGAAGGTAGCGGAGCGGCCGCCAGCGCATCATGAGCGTGGCACGTAGTCATGTTGTTACATGAGACGCATCTAATGATTACGAGGTTTGCGCCAGTCACATATCTTCGTCATCTATTCCCGTACTGTAATACCAAATTCGGTATATGTGACGCTAGCGAAACGGCCGCGAGTGGATCATCAGTGTGGCATGTAGTCATGCTCTTACATGACACGCATGTCGTGATTATTGTGTTTGGATGTGTCATTTACTCATGTCTTCCGTTCGCGTCACGTAATACCGAGCTTGGTACATTTGAAACTAGCGAAACGGCCGCGAACGCATCGTGAGCGTAGCATGTAATCCTGTTGTTACATGACACGCATGTCATGATTTCCATGTAGGGTCTGTCGCTTGTGTTTGCCATGCAATCATGTCATACCGTACCAGTTTTGCAACATGCCATGTAAACA